TTTTTTTTTTTTTTTTTTTTTTGCACAGGGAAGGAAAACAGCATGTTTTTTGACAATTGATTTTTTTTAGATATATATATTTTGAAGAAGTTTTTCATTTGAAGCAAGCAAACACTCAGGGAATAAGTCTTTTTTTTTTTTTTTTTTTTTTGCACAGGGAAGGAAAACAGCATGTTTTTTGACAATTGATTTTTTTTAGATATATATATTTTGAAGAAGTTTTTCATTTGAAGCAAGCAAACACTCAGGGAATAAGTCTTTTTCTGATCAGCTACTTTAGAACTTACAGGGGATTAAATCATTATTATCTGAAATATATCATATTAGGTGAAAGGTTGTAATGTTAGATTTCATCTACTTTTGTCAAAAAAAGTTTTGCTGCTTTGAAAATGCAACAGTGAAAACCTTTGAAGAACTTGATATCAGAAACATTTTCATGCCTTTGCATCAGTCTGAGCATTCTGGTTGTTTTGGCAGTGTAGAAGTTTTCCTAAAGAACTGGGCTTTATTTTTATATGACTTCCAATACTTTCATTCGCTAAAGAAATAGAATCTCTATTATTTTTTAAACCAAACAGGTAAATTTACAGCTCGAAAGGAGTCTTTAAACAGAATTATGTATTTTCCCATTTACCCAAAATGCTGTAAAATGCAGATTTCTCTGCAAGTTAGGTACAAACAATTTTAAATAAGGATGGTGAAATAGTTTCTTTTGCTTTGCCTTTTTTTATTTTTATTTTTTTACTTCCCTGCTTTTGTCTTGAGAAGCTTTGCCACAGTGGGTATTATATCCTGACATGTTTCTTTACTCCCATGTTCCTATCTTTTCTTTTTGCCTTCTCTCTGTCTCTATCCCTATTATTTTCTCTCGCTCGGTTTCTGCTGCCTTTCATCATCCGTCTCCTATTTCCACCAATATTCATCCACCAACCCCTTCGTCTATTTTCCTCTCCCTCCGTCCTGTTTTTCCTTTCTCCAATTAGAATTTCCTCTGCTTCTTCTACATGTTCTTCTATTCCGTCTTGTCCCTTCTGTTTTCTTTTTATCTCTTCCTGTTGTGCCCATACTACACGATGCTCTGTTTATAATTTCCCTTCTCTTGGGTCCTAACTTCTTGTCTTCTCTTAACCCAACCCCCCCACTCCCTCCTGAAGACACAACAGCCCTGTCGAAACCTCCGAACGTGGACCATGCTGTTATCGGTGGGGTTGTGGCAGTTATCGTCTTCATCCTGCTTTGCCTTCTCATCGTCCTCGGCAGATACCTCATCAGACACAAAGGTCAGCAACACTGCAAAAAAAAAACTAAGAAATGAAAGTGTTCATGTAAGAACCTATGAAAAGACATAGTGGCATACATACGGATGCATGCACAAATATGGCCATTTAATACCCCCACATACAGTACATGAATGTATAAAGCAGAGGTCATGGATTAGCGGACCGTGGTCTGGATTCGGACCCTCTGCTGGCTAATCCCGACCCAACCTGATATAAAACATTTATAAATTACTGCATGTTGTCTGACGACAGTGTCTAACTTCACTTGCATTGCTTCTCCTTTTAATATGGTAAAGCCGTCTGGAGCGTCCGGCACCAGGCTACACATGATACAAATTAACCAATCAGCTGTGTCAGCTTGGGTCACTGCTGCTAGCTACTTTTAGACACAGCAGGCAAACCTGTGGCAAGCCGGGCGATGGGAAAGAAGGAGAAGATGATGAGAAAAAGAGAGCAGAGAATGAAAAAGCTGCAGTAAATTAGTGAAAGAAAAGTGAAATGGTGCTCAAAGGTGACCCTGCACATTTTGAGTATGTTTAGCTCAACCTACCGCTGGGAAGCAGGACTCCCCACCATGACCATAGTCAGAAATAGATATTGATCAAGGCTCATTAATGAGCTCCTTGATATGTGCTTTAGAATGTCTTTGTCTCCATTCAAACCCAGGTTTAAAGCCTTGCAGGGCAGCATAAAGCCCACTGCTCTCATTAAAGCTACAGTGTGTAATAATTACAGGGATATACAGTCAGAAATGTAATCTATTATACATAACTATGTTATTTTATAATCATCTACGAGCTCAGCCTCTTAACCTTAATATTTGCGTTGCCTTAGAATTCGTTATTTATAATTACATAGGAGCGGGT